CCTGTGAAATTGTGAAGGAAAAGAAATCTGTATTAATGTTGTACTCATGCTCCAGACTACAAAAGTTCTAGCTACAGTACATGACAAATGTTTAGTTAATATGAAAAAATTATTAATTTATATAGCATGTGTCATCATCTTCAGTTTAAGGCATCCACTAGGGGGCAGGGTGGGTGTCTTAGAAGATTTACTCCACTGATAAGGACGAGGCTACTATATTCAATGAGAAATCAAGTACATTACTGAACATTACCAATTGGACCCCCGAAACACCATGAGAAACAAAGGTCACCCAAAGAATTTCCACAGTGTTCCCTACAGCACAGTGTCCAGGCTTAACAGTAACTGAAACATAGTAAAATTAACAAGTGGAAATAACTGGTATTTAAAAGTCCATAAAGAGGGAAACAAATTTAAATCACTATAATAAAAACAGCATAGAACAATTTAAGAAATGAATTACAATTTCCAAGAATCAAAACTGACAGGATACATACTACATGATACCATTTGTGTAACATTTCTTAAGTGAACACACTGGCATACACAACACACACACACACACACACACACACACACACACACACACACACACATTGTACAAAACCTGAATGAAGAAAGGCATTACAATTTTAGGATACTGGTTATATAAACTCAAGGGAGTAAAAGAGGAAGGAAAATGGGGCAGAAAAAGGTACAAAGAAGACATTTACATGTGCAATATTATATTTTTAAAATGCAAGTCTGAAGTACTTTATAATCAAGTTTTTAAAGTATAGACTTCAGGGAAATTTACAAAGACCATAACATATAAGGATCTTGTAGATAAATAAGTGTTCAGATGAGTAGTGACTGAAAGAATATTCCAATGCTATAATTATTTGAATTATGTTAGGTAAAGGGAATATAGAGAAGAAACACTGGGAATTCTACATTAACCTAACACTGGCAGTATTATAGTATGGAAAATTGGGCAGTTGCATTGCCTAGGCATTTGGCTTAACTCTAGTTTCTTGTATTAGTAGTGATCTTTGTGCAATATGGTAATATCATCATGTTATGAAGGTGAAAACATAGCAAGCATGAAAGCTTTGGGCATACCATACATTTGGTATTGGCCAACAGTCATAGTATATGAAAGAAAACATACTGCTGGGAGGAAATTATTTTCCCTAGTAGTCTTGTGAAAATTGAAATAATAATAAAAAGGTCAAAAACAAAGCAGTCAACATGCCTTCTATAAAAGATACGTATTAAACATTACATGTGTAAGTATTGAGAACTATAATCCTGTAGATGCTCTTTAAAAGCAAGTTATTAGGCATATCATATCATTCCAGAAAAAGTACAATTTCCTTACGAATATATATATACTTTTGTAGATTTTAGAAAGACAGAGATAGAATGAGTAAACAAACATGTAAATAAACTACTCCATAGTTTAAAGAAACAAACGACTGATATATATATATATATATATATATATATATATATATATGGATACGGATACTGAGCTTAGCTATCTGTTCTTCTTGGTGGATGAAGGTGAAGTCTTACTCCTAGGTGACGGGGGTGATGGGGGTGCCTAAATTCCTAGAGGCAAGGGCAGGGACTTGGACAATATGTTACTGGACCTGCCCGTTCTGTGCCATAAACTGGAGACTCTCAAGCTCCCTGTGACTCTGCCCCCCAGTGACCATAACCTTGTGTAGGCCTCAACCAACTCAGCCACCATTGCACACCATGCCTCATGTCTCCTGACTCTCCTCAGGTCACCAAGGCATCCCTCTTTGGCTCTCCATTGGAGTTGATCTGGTTTGTTGGTATTGTTTTTCTGCTTTGTCTTTGCTTTACTACTCTTATGGCTCAGTTTTCTTACAGTGTTAGTGTATTCAAGGCTGCAAGTTTTCTGGGGCCATGTGTCTGCCTGCAGTCACTGCCTTTCTAATAAAGACTCCCAATTTGACTTCTTAAAATGTGGCTTCTTTGTACCTCGAAATTGAAATCCCGTATAACAGAATCTCAAAAACAAGATGAGCCAACAAAAGTATATTATATCCCTCCAATATACTAGAATGGTACTTCCTTTTACATGGGATTTGTGAGGGAACACAAGGGAAATTTGTAGAGTGGAAACATTCTAAGTCTTGACTTTGGTAATGGTGACATGAACATATGAATTTTTCAAAATTCATAAGAAGGGAAAAAAGGAACGATATTGAAATGAAAAAAGTTGGTGTCTATTAAAATGGACTAAAAAGAGCTAACAATTTCAGTATGGAAACCTTGATTGGATCTTGATTTGATGAATTATAAAAATCATTTACATGACAACTTGAAAAATCCAAGTATGGACTTTATAATAAGAAATTATCACTAATAGCCAGGAGTGATAGTGAGTTCCTAAAATCCCAGCTACTTGAAAATCAGGGGCATCCCAATGAGGAATTCCAGGTCACAAAGTCAAAGACAAAGTCCTAAGACACTAACTAAAAACAAACCACAAACAAAAGAGCTAGGTATGGGGGTGTGGTTTAAGCATCAGGGTTGCCTAAAATGCCTGAGGGCCTATGTTCAATATCTAGCACAAAAAGGAAGGAAGAAGGAAAGTATATTTTTATGTTATCTTATGCACAATAATATCCTTAACATTAATGATGTCTTGAAAAAAGCTGAACCCTGTGATGTTAACAATTTACTTTCAATTTTTCATCAAAAATATTTATTTGTACATAAACACTCATATAGATAAATATAAATATCTGTACATATTCATGTATATATGAATATGTGTGTAAAGATAAACCAACTTCATGTATGTACATCATATGAGTTATTCACAAAATTATTCTCCCAACTACATGCATGTCTGAAAATGTTGATTTATTTTTTTAATTTGAAAAGTCAAGGAGAAAAGATGCTAATTTCCAATGACAATATCTCCAGGACGTATTAAATGAAGAGAAGAAAGCCAAGTGCACAATGGTTTGTATATATGTGAAGTTGAAAGACAATTTTAAAAATGTGCATATCTATCTATCTGTCTGTCTATCTATGCACAGATAGAAAGACAGATAAATAGATATCTCCCTGGCCATAAATCTCCCCTATTCAATCAGAGTCAAATTAATCAGGCTTCTTTAACTTGTAAGACTAGTAATGATCTTTTGTTCCTCCTATCAGAGCCATTAAGAAAGCCTTTGACAGAAAACTTAGCATCTTTACAGATTTGCTCCAAAACACTTATGCAACCCTTGACAAATAGTCATGGCACAGCTCTACTTTGTCACTTGTAGAAGGGATGAAACGTGGTGACTTCTAAGATTTTTCAGAACACTAAAACTCTGCAACTCAAGTGTTTATTAAAGAAAAAAAGAAAAGGAATATTTCCTTCTGCATAGTTTTCTTTAACTCTGATGAATAACAAAGCTCCAGTATGCAATTATTCACTTTCGGTGTGCAACATATCGAAATAAAATGCGTGTCTCTGGCTCCTTAGGCGACAATCAATTATAGCAGAGTACTTCCTTTTAGCAAGTTACAGTTCTGGCCAGGGAAGGGGAGTGGTGCTCAGCAGAATAAGCCAAGCCCCATTGGCTAACAGGGGAGGAAGAAGCAGCCAATAACAGTCTAGGAAAGCTGATCTGGGGAAGTGTTTCACAAGTCCTGGGAGGAGAGGTTTAGGAAGTTGTGTGTATTCTTTTAACAGACTAATCCTACTTTACAAAACGTTATCAAAGCCAGCTTGTGATACAAACACTTCAAGCCAAGACTACAGTGTCTCGGATTAAAATCGCTGCAGGATTGCCCAGAAACCAAGAGTTCCTAGAAACTATTCACCCTTTGTCCCATACTCTGCTCCCCCCAAGGTTCTGCTCCTTAAAGCCTTAAACCAGTTTTGTGATCTCCAAGGTGGTTTGCTTAGCTAGTAAGGAATACCACCCAGGAAGAGAGGGATGATGCAAACCAGGGTTAAGTGGACACAAAAGCCTGGCCTGCATGGCAGCAGGAAGGAAATGCTGAGGGCTCCTGGGGGAGGTCCAGGACTGACCAGTGAGGATGGGCCTGTAAGCATCCTCTGGGAGATCCACAAGGGGGCTGGGGAGAGAGGACTTCCAGAGGGGGATTTGGGAGAGGGGATTTCCTCCATTGTGGAACTTTCGTCCAAAGAGGAAAATAAAGAGGGGAAGGAGTTCAATACTCCTTGGAAGTGCTTTGATTATCCAGGATGATGGAGTTCTCACAGCAATGCAGAGCCTCAGCTGGATTTCCACCAAGAGGCTGGGAAAGGATTCTCTTAAACCAGTCTGGAGAGAATGGATGGCATTACAAGTTTGGAGAGTGAGAAGATTTCCTCTAAAAGCTGAGGGGAATTTCTGTGCACTGATTGGAAGAATGTGGAGGAATCCCAATCCCCCTCTTAAAGTCAGAGGGGTGGGGGATGGGGGGGCACGGGGTGGGGGGGGAGGGGTACTGAAATGGTTTCTAAGGAACGCGGTTTCTCCTGGAAGAGGATTGCAAAGTACTGCTGGGGTGATGCCACATTTCAGTTGTTGTGGGTGGGGACTGTATGCTAAGGAAAAAGGGACTCCGTCCCTCCCTGGAGGCTGGGAGGCTCGGTCCCAACCGGCTAGCACTTTGTGACTTGGACGGAATGCCACCAGGCCCCACACCCGGGCCAGGGGAGCCCGAAAATCACAGCGGAGGAGTTTAAAGAGAACCCCGCCGCCCCCCACCCTCCGGAAGGGCAGCTCTGGAGCGATCAGTGAAAAGCAACCACACTGGAGGCTGGGGGGAGGCCGGGGCCCGGCGCGGAGGGGTGCGCGACTTGGAGGGGAGCAGGCCCCGACGTGACGGGCGCCATGGCTCCTCGGAAGTCACTGGTTCCGACGGTGACGGACACCTGCGGGTGAGGGACCCCGAGTTTTCAGGTACCCCCTGGAGAAGAGGCGGTCCCAGAGGGAAGCTGTTCCGGGGCGGGAGGCCCGACCAGTACTCACAGAGCGGATCTCCAGCGCCAGGGCGCATTGCAACGCCTTCACCTTCGGCATCTGCGCGGGGTAAGGTGGCGGGGAGGGACCCCGGCCACGGGCCCGAGTGAGGCGGGGAGACTCGGGGAGGGGCGGGGATGGGGAAGACACAAGGTGGCGGCGCCGGTGGCAGCTGTGGCCCCCAGGCCGGGGCCCGCGGTCCAGCCTGGGTCCCGCCCGAGTAGCAGCTGAGCGCGGGGCCCGGACTCGTTGTCATAGCAGCCATGAGGGGAGGGGCCGGAAGCACGCGAGGGCGAGAGGCCGGGCGGGGCTCGGCGGAAGCTGGGCGGGGCTTGGGGCCAGAGGGGGCGTGGTTCCACCGTGGCGGGATGGGGGCGGGGCGGTTCTTCTGTGACATCAAACTAAGCCTCGAAGGCCTGTGGAAGAGAGAATAGCTTGGACGGCCTGGGAATCAGGACGCGGGTCTGAGGAACAAAGCCGCTCTGAGTTCCAAAGCGGTGACGGTGGTCGAGTCACTACGACCTCAGTTTCCCCAACTGTAAAACAATTACTATTATTTCCTGTGACTCCTCCTCTTTGAATTTCACAGTGCACTTTACAGAACTCTCACGAAGACACTGAGGATTAGAGATTTGTCCATGACAGAGGCAGAACGGGACTCAGCCCAGAGTCTCTGAAAACCAGTTGTTGCTTTCTGAGAAGGGGACCTTGAACCCTCCCCACGAGCCTCTTTCTAGTCTCCTACTCAGGGGTTCTTAGTGTTTCTTTTCCCTTCGAAATGGCCTGTCTCATTTGTGTGTATGAATCTCAATGCAGATTGCTTACACTGAACTCTAAATGAGTGGCCTGGCTGCAGAGATGGTGAAAATCATTTTATTATGAAACATGCTACGCATACTGAAGTGTATGAAACATGCCCATCTTTAGTAATGATATGAACAAGAAGAACATATAGAATAATAACCTGGGCAATTAACACCTTGTTAAGAAACAGAACAATATCAACACCTTAAAAATGCCCTAACCATTGTCTTCTCTTTCTTGCTCTATAAGTAATCACCACCAGAAATCCCCCACCCCTCCTTTTTTTACAAGATTTCCTTTGCTTTCATGTACAAATTTCCAAAGCGGTGCAATGCTATGTAAGTGGAATTAATACTGTATTTTTCCATTGACTGGCTTCTCTCAACATAATATGGATTCATCAAATGTTGATGCAGTGTAGTTCAAGTGTGTTCTATTTTCTAACGCTATTGTAAAAAAAAAAAAAGACGTGCTGACTTATTTAACCTTTCTACTCTTGATATTCATCTGTATTGTTTCCACTTTTAGGTCTTCTCAACAAATAGTTATAAACATTCTAGGACATATCTGCCTTTTAGTTGCACATGTGCTAGAGGAGGAAAGGACTGACCCAGAGTCAGGTTTTTTTGTAAGACTTTAACAGGCAATGTTTACCATACCATTTTCCAGAGTTGTACAGATTTATGTGACTGTTCACTTTTCTTCATCCTTTCTAACATTGACATTACTTGGACTTTTTATTTTTATATGTTTGTCATTTGCTATGTCTAGTCTAGATTTCTAATTGTGTTTTTTTTATTTTACATCTCTGATTATGATTGCTTGGTTTCATTCACCTATTTTTTGCAATGAATTGCAAAGCATAACGATTTTTCTATTGTATTCTATTGCATTCTCTCATCTCAGATAATAGTTCTTTGCCTGTTCTGCAGGTTGCAAACATTTTTTCTTTTTACACTTGATCTTTTACATTTTTCATAGTGAGTCTTGGGAGATACATTGTTAATTCATATAATATGAGTATTTCAAGCTTTATATCAAGGAGCTGTCCAGTCTATATTCCTACCACCCATGTTTGAGGGTTTCTCTATGACCCCCCCCCAGTTCCCTCAATATTAGCAATATTAAACTTTCCCCCAACATGCAAAATATTATCTATCGATTTTCTCAGATTATTGACGATTCTGAGCACATATTTATTATGTTTATCATTTCTACTATATTATAAATTGTCAGCTCATGTATTTGACCATCTTTCTACTTTCCAGTTTGAGAAATTCTAGATTTGAAGAAAAGGTGACACGTTAGAAAACAATCATTAAGAAGTCTCCTCTCCACTGGAGCGTGGGTTGAAAGACTTAATCATCTTTTATTTATGGGGGAACATTGAACATTTTAATTCTTTCCACAGATGAGGGGGAAAATGGAGATAATTTGGTCTACATCTTTTCTCGATTGTAAACTCATACTGTGGAGTAACCACTTCTTAATTTTCTTTAGACTGAACACAGAGTTTAGCATGTAAATGATGCTCAGTTGAGTGGACATTGCCCTTCCCAGGGTACTCTGTACCTAGGCCTTCCTCTGGCAAAAATGTTCAATGGAGAAAGTCCAGCCTTTGAAATCTGACCCATCTGAGTCCAGTGCTATCTTCACCATTGTCCTGAAGCACATTGCTTTAATTCTTCAGACCTTACTTTCCCTGTATCTATGTGGTCCACTTCACATGTTTTCAGGGAGGAAAAAACAAAGTTCTAAGCCCATGTATAACAAGCTCCATGGTAACAGGATCATGTTCTTTTCATTTATATTCTCAGATAAACACTGCCCACGTTGGAAGTCTTTTGAAATCCCATCTGAATTGGATGGCTTGGATCCCAACTATTCTTCAGACTTTTTGAGTTGTTCTAAAACAATATATTATGGACAAAAACATGCACAGTTCAGCCTGAGTCCTGGTTACATAACATACTTATTTTATGTTGTGGCTGGTTTCAAAGTCCTTCTTCTATAAGCTTAAAAATTTCACCTCATAGAAAAATTCAACTACCATTTTCTAAGCCGCAGGCACAGAATTTGCCTGGCTAGCAGCATGGTGAATGGTACCACTATAGTTAATGATATCAACAAAGATTTAGTGCAAGTAGTAGGTAAGACAAAAATAGCACTGACTGCTCAGTAATCCCCTCCTTTTATCCTGTATGAAATTTTATAGGAAGTAAGTCAAATGAAAAATGTAATCTCTTAATCTTTCCAAGAAATCCTATCAAGTATTGATGAATACTTTGAGGGAATAAATTAGAGCATTTTTTTTCTTTTATACAGTTTACTTTGTATTTGTAAAATACGAATGGTAACTCAGACTGACTGGCCCAATGATCAGACAGAAGATTTTATCTTTAAAAAAACCCAATATTGATGTTCAGCTATGTTCAGTCTCCATAAAGAAATTGATTCCCAACAGTCAGTAAGCAGTAAGACTATTAATAACAAGATTGTAATATCCATAGCAACTATTTAGTGATATTATATATCAGATACTGTACAAGACACTTGCTGAACATAATTGTATATTATGCACTGTTCTACAAGGTAAGTATTTCTATCCTCACTAGCAAGGAAACAAGTTTGGAGTAAACTGAGGCCATAGATAGTATGTGACAAAGCAGGAATTTAAAATTAAAACTATCCTTCTTCAAAGAAAGCACTGTTTTGCTCTAAAATAATAACTAATGTGTTATGTATTAGCTTAGTGTTGTCAATGACATAACATCAATTAGTTGAGGATAAAATTTCAACAAATTATGATGACAGTAGTAATTATATTATAATAGAATAGAATATATAATAAAATGTTATGTCATCTTGCATTTGAATAAAAGTCTGTGCTTCTGAAGGCTTATTCCTGTCATTCAAGTTGATGATTCCATGTATTTTGAAGTTGAATATTTCTAAACCTCTGAATACTAGACTTATCACTAACAATAATATGGAAGGTTTAAGAGAAAATAAAAACTATTTAACATTTCTGCCATAATTTGGAATTAAAGATAAACAGAAATCACTTGATAGATTTACCTTCTGCAGAATTCACCCTATAAGAATTATATAAAACAATGTGAATCTTACCCCTTGGGAAAAATGTGTTTTGGCTTAAAATGTATTACACAAGTATATGTCATAACACACACCCAGAAATGGCCATTGCAATTCTACAATTGTAGAATTGTGTACATTGTGCAATTATGTTGTTTAAAATGTAGTAAAACATTAGTTATCTTCCTAAGTAAGACATGCTCACTCAGCCACTGGGCACCAGTGGCTCACGCCTATAATCCTAGCTACTGAGGAGGCTGAGATCTGAAGATCACAGTTCAAAGCCAGCCCAGGCAGGATAGTCTGTGAGACTCTTATCTCCAATTAACCACCAGAAAATGGAAGTGGTGCTATGGCTTAAGTGGTAGAGCACTTGCATTGAGCTGAAAAGCTGAGGGACAGTGCCCAGGCCGAGTTTAAGCCTCACAGCAGACCAAAAAAAAAAAAAAGATTGTCATTCCTCTGACTGAATTTTAGAAAGTGATAAGGCTAGCTGGGTTCCGGTGGCTCACATCTGTAATCCTTGCTACTCAGGAGGCTGATCATGGTTCAAAGCCAGCCTGGACAAGAAAGTCCATGAGACTTTTATCCCCAATAAATCACTAGAAAACCGGAAATGGTGCTATGGATCAAGCGGTAGAGTGCTCGCCTTGAGCTGAAGGGTGTAGGGACAGTGCCCAAGCCCAGAGTTCAAGCCCCACGACCTACAAAAAAGAAAGAAAGAAAGTAACAAGCCAATGAAGAACCACTTCCAACTTCTCATATGCCAGTCTTAGGGAAAACGGACATATAAGAGGCCAGATTGCTTTTTGGAAAATAAAGGATGAGAGTAGAATACACTATGAGATTCTGAACACTAGATAAAAACTGCCTGCAGGGGGCTGGGAATGTGGCATAGGTGGCTTAGATATGCATGCCTAACATGCATAAAGCCCTGAGTTCCATTCCTCAGGACCACATAAACAGAAAAAGCCGGAAGTGGTGCTGTGGCTCAAGTGGTAGAGTGCTAGCCTTGAGCAAAAGAAGCTCAGAGACAGTGCCCAGCCCCTGAGTTGAGGGCCAAGGACTGGAGGGGGGAAAAAATGGCAGGAATTGGGCATTATTTCCATCCTGGTGTAGGGCCTCCTGAGATTCAACCTTACTTTCTCCATTACAGGAAAGGTAAGAATTCAGGGAACTGCACAGAAGTTCCCAAAGGGCTATTAACATTTCTTTGACTCTAACACTCATCTATACTGGGGCAACATTTCTAGATGAGAAAGGGTATGCATCTTGTTTTGGATCTAGGTAATTATTGGGAAGAAGAGGGTTCTGATGTAGGTACCATTGTTTTGTTTT